AAGCCCACACATCTTCAACAGGAAGACCAACATTTGCTCCATTTTATCTTTAATAAAACCAGCGAAAAGAAACAAAAACCATCAGGTCAAAACAATAGAGTAACTTGATACACACCGTTTCCACATTCAAATTGCCTTTACAGTTTCTGCTTTTCCTCCCATGTCTCTTTATGTTCTCTTTTACTTCTCTCCACTTATCCAACTACCTTTCAGGGCTCAAAATTCTGAATTTTTCTGCTCTTTATACTTGCACTATCAATATTTTTACTGGCCCAACTACAAAGAAAAAAAGATCAGTTTTATTTTTGGGTGACAAATGTTTAAGTTTGCAAAAAAATAAAAGCACAAGAACATGATTAAAAATGGTAAGAATGGTCCAACCCAAGCACTGGCCTTTCCTCTACTGCATTTATCTTCTTCTTCTGTAAACTCAGCTCTATTAAGAACTTTGCCTGTCCTGACATGAGCCAAGTGCTACACTTTAGATCCCACGGCGACATTTGCAATGACCCGCCCTGCACCAGAATAACCTGTACCTGTGCGTACCTGTCCTTCCCCATATACCTGACAAACACAGAGACTGAGAGAACTTCCCCTCTGCTCCTGTCAGATCATGACAGTCCAGGTCTAGCCTAGCTCAAAGAAAAATTGCAGGTTTACGGGCCACGCTTTTGGAGAGCTTAACAAGAGAGCAAGAGGGCAAGAGAATTCCAGCTCACGTCAGGGTAAAACTTGGCAGGCGAAAGCACATAGTTCAAGTACAATGCATTGCGAGCGCTGAAAGTTGTGTGGCGTGGCCGCTGTATTGATGTTTTTTTTCTTGGGCTGAATACGGCCGTTGATAACAGATCCAACTCAAAACACTATGAACCGAAACCGAAAGCACCTAAAATACCTGCTAACACAATTGTAGGGTAATGTCCAGGGGATTGCTTATGGCTTTGAGTGGCTTTTTGCATGTTGCTATATTGTTGCTTATTTGCTCAAGTTAAAATGTCTATAGTGTATTTCTGTGTCTCCTCAACTAGAGGCCCTTGGCTGAAAAGGCTATGGCAATATATTTAATACTTCCCAAGTAAGAGGCATACTAACTTAATAAAAAAAACTCTAGTGGTGCTTTTTCCCCATTTTTGAACTGTAACCATTGGCATATAATGCATCAAAGACTACTCGTCAAGTCAACAGATTTCACTAATAGACCTATACCAATCTCTGTGTAAAAATAAAATGATGTCATTTGCTAAAGTCATTTTTGCCCCCCTGTAGTTTAGCTCCAAATCTCAGCTGAAAATTGTCATTTTGCCATTTGTTTTTCTTCAGAAAAAACATTAACAAAATCAGAAATTTATGCCGGGGAGGACCCTGGGGAAATTTGGTTGATTTGACCTTATAGCATAAACTGTGCAAGACAATTTGCACGCTAAATTTAACAAATTACTAGATGCTTGGGACAAAAATGCCCCCAAAATTCAAGATTAGGGTGCAAAAAAAAAATGAATGAAAAGTGTTGATTTCAGCACTGCATTTGGATCTGCTCAGGTTGCATCAGTGTTTTTTTTAAGTGTTTTTGAGCATTCGAACCATCATATTCTGACTGACTGAAGTAATTGGTTAAATTGAAGTATTTGACCTGAAAGACAACACAGATATATTTAATAAAGTAATTATAAAAATGTAAATGTTAAAATGGTTGTAACAATGTTACCCCTTCATGGAGCTAAGTTAATTTCTGGTTACAAGTTTGTTCAAATCACTAACCCCAAGTATGCGTAATAGCAAAAGTATTGCTTGAGTTTCAACGTGAAATCAGCCAATGGTAAAACAGCACATTGGATTCATTAAGTGTTGCTGACAGACCGATTAAGTCAGACTGAGTGTCTGTGAAATTGTTTTTGTCATCTCACTGATTGATCTTTCACAATCCGTCTCCATCTCCTGAGGTCTGACGTTCACAAATTTAATCAAGTCCAATTCAACAGCCTGCGCGTCTCACAAAAAGCACAATTAACACTGTTTCCAGCTTGTGTGCTGATCTGAGCACTGAACCAGTGAGACCCAGTTTTATAAGGACGCACAATGAGGCGTTCTGGGTTTGAATCAGGCCTTCACGTGGACGGTGTAATCCTGTTGTGTCTGCAAGGGTTAAGCCAGTCTGATTTTAGGGTGGTCCCGTTTGTGTGTGGTTTAAGTATGTGTGAGTCATGCGAGGACAGCGTAATCGCAAGCAAGAAGAGCGGAATGACACAATAACCTGTTTCTGTGAGGATTTACGAGGACAGATTGCTGCCGTGTGTGTGCCGAATCAATCTGAATAAAGTTGCTTCGTATTCCAGAACGGCTTTCTGAGAGCAAGATTTACTGAGAAAGAGAAATACGTTTAGATGCACTATAAATGAAAAAAAAAAGTGTCTGTTTTTGCCCTCTTTTTGAGATTACACAGAAAGGCCATAAAGTGAGCAAAAAGAAAACAATTTAAACACAGTGGTAAACTTATGAGGAACTGGAACATAACAAATGGTTGAAATCCAACCGTTAGAGTCGAACTCTCACTGATGTAAGCAACACGTGACTCGATGCAAAGTTACAAACTGTACAAAACTCTCAAAAAACTAGGAATAGTCCTTGCATTAAGCCAAATAAAATATTATGAACAAAATTGGAAAAATTCTGAACAGATACAGAGATGAGAAATGGCTTCTATATGCACACAGTGACCTGCAGTGTTTAACACTAATATGCAAGGAAAAAACAACTAAATAATCCAAAGAAATTCATAAATCAAATGGCAAACAGCCTTTAAAAAAGGCTGGTAGAGAATATTTTTATCTGACAAATTCTACCAATTCAACACCATTGGCAGGTGCTAAAGTTAATTTTGGACCCTAAACATCACATTTCTACCACACGCTTGCGTTTAATACCAAAGTTAATATTTATGATTACCCATAAAGGTTGGTGGAGTTCAACAAATACACAGCTGGAAAAGAGTCACTCTCAAGTCTTGAAACAAAGGGGCCATTTTTCTCTCGCTCAAAGCCAAAATGCAAAGCATCAAATTAGAATGTCGAACACACAGCAGCGACCTGCAGCTTTAAACATGAACTACCTGAGCACAGGCTGTACACAGTCTACAAAACCATTCCATCATCAAGCCTGATTTACTCTATACATTTTCTTATATCTAAAACATCTCAGAAAATGCTTGCATGTTCCTTTCCCTGTATTTTCAGTAAGGGTTTTGGTTTAATCATTGAAGGACCAGCGGTAACAGGGTCACCATAAGGTCTTGTACCTCTCCAGCGGTCTCCATAACAACACAACCTTCGCCCCGTTTCCTCATTTTCAGTGGTGATGCAAGATAATACGGGCAGAGCGTGTGCAAGGACTGCTGCAGCACATGTCGAAATCTGTGTGTGGTCATGAGTTAATCTTCAACGCAATGCAGGGAATTCTCATTTCATTCTGTTTGTCGGGGCCAAATCAGATCATAAGCAATCAACCCAAAATCTGAGCAGTATGCATTCATAACCTGAGCTCCTATAGATACTGTATACATTCAGTATTATTACTCAGTTTGAGTCTGGTTGTAACAATGTTACCCCTTCATGGAGCTAAGTTAATTTCTGGTTACAAGTTTGTTCAAATCACTAACCCCAAGTATGCGTAATAGCAAAAGTATTGCTTGAGTTTCAACGTGAAATCAGCCAATGGTAAAACAGCACATTGGATTCATTAAGTGTTACTGACAGACCGATTAAGTCAGACTGAGTGTCTGTGAAATTGTTTTTGTCATCTCACTGATTGACGGGCAGAGCGTGTGCAAGGACTGCTGCAGCACATGTCGAAATCTGTGTGTGGTCATGAGTTAATCTTCAACGCAATGCAGGGAATTCTCATTTCATTCTGTTTGTCGGGGCCAAATCAGATCATAAGCAATCAACCCAAAATCTGAGCAGTATGCATTCATAACCTGAGCTCCTATAGATACTGTATACATTCAGTATTATTACTCAGTTTGAGTCAAACATGAAGGCAAAGTTCACGGTGGCTTACAGCTTCTGCAGGTGCGTCAGTGTGATTTTAGCATGAATGGGGGGGGAAATAGCCTGTGGCAAAGGATCGTGTCTGTCCTCCGTCAATCTTTTTTCTCCTCTCCTCTGCCCTAAAAAGAGCTCTCAGCACATCCACTGCCTCAGCGATAATCATTTTAGATGAAGCACAACCATCATACCAAATCTAATTTCTAGAGATGCAGCAACACAGACCCAGCTTTAAAAAAAGAACATTTTGCTAACATTTCCATTAAACGAACATTATGGGAATGTTACTTTTGAATGTTCTCTGAACCATAAGTATTAACATTTGTAAAAAGTCAGATGAACGTCCAGCTAAGAAAAACAATGAGCGATGTATAAATTATGTTTTTTGTGCTAACGTTTTCAGAATGTTGTTAAATACCAGATAATTTTACAATAGAATAAACATTCTATTGACATCATCGGAAGAATGTTTGTTTATAACTTTGAGAGAACCTTTATCATTCAATAAATATCCAATTAACAATATGACTGCCCAAAACAATCAGTGAAGTTTCAATAATGCATTCAATTCAATGAATTGTGCAAAAACAGGGTTATTGATGTGCAATCACGTGCCTTACGTCTAATCATGTATTAAAACATTATAATGCACAATATGCCAAAAAATATGCCTAACTGCTTAATAATCCTGAAGTTGGCATACAAGAATTAGAATTATGAAAAATTAGGCATTATATTATCTGCCTAATCAAACTGATAATAATAAATGTCTATATTGTCAGTAAAACATCATGCATCCCATGTATTTCCATTCAACTACAATTCTGAAGCTCGCAGCATGACAATCACCAATTTGAACCAATTCAATCTTTCGTTTTGAATGCACACCATCATTGTAATTTTGGCTCAGCTCTGAAATTCCCACGGCTGTCTGGAAGGATCTTTCCCCGGGATACTCACTGTGATGACAGCCTTGCTGAGGCAGAGGGAACCGCGGCAGCCGTACTCGCGCTCGTCCTGAGATTTGTAGTAACTCAAGGTGTTGTTCTTCAGCACGACCCAGCGGTCCTGCCATCCGTGAATGTAGTTAGTCCACTGCAGAGAAACAAAACTGTTATAAGAAAACAAAAAGCTGTATCTAAGAGTGTGCACACAGCCATACTGATGACTAATGACAATAAACATATGATGCATAGTTCAATAAAACGATTGATTGTGTTCTTGTATACATACTAGATAGACATACGTTAAATGGGAGAGGGTTTAAGTCATTGCATGTGGAATAATACACTAATCTCTTATGGAATATGCTCCTCTCATCACAAAAACAGACGATCAGTTGTCTGAGTCATGAGGAGAGGTTTTCTCCTTTAATCCCATCAGGAAGAAAAGACTAGCAGATGAACTCTAGTAACCCCGACTAACTCCAGCTTCTGCCCAGAACCTGCTGCACCCCTTCTGAATTATATATGCATAAAGAAAGATATCCATGCATCACATATTAAGTATTTATCATAAAATATCAAAAAACAGTCCTGGGTAACATTACCTTGGGCCTTGCTGTCTAAAGAGCAGCATATGGTCACCATGCACGGGAAATCACCATGGAAAATATACCGTAATGCGAGCAAACCAGTAATAAGGGTAAATAAGCTTCCCATCGATGTATGGTTTATTAGGATAGGATAACATTTGACTGAGATACAGCTATTTGAAAATCTAGAATCTGAGGAGCAAAACAATCCAAATATTGAGAAAATCATCTTTAAAGTTGTCCAAATTAAGCTCTTAGCAATGCATATTAAGTTTTGATATATTTACGGTAGTAAATTAACAAACTGTTTTCATGGAACATGATCTTTACTTAATATCCTAATGATTTTTGGCATAAAAGAAAAATCGATCATTTTGACCCATACAATGTATTGTTGGCTATTGCTACAAATATACCAGTGGCTGGTTTTGTGGTTCAGGGTCACATATATTGTTTAAACTGTTAAGCAATTGTAGTATTTGTTGTACTGCGTTTGATTTGTGCTTAATTTAATTATGAAAACCCATGCGTCCGGGCAGTAACGTTAATGAGGAGCAGATCAGAAGTAAAACATTGAGCATATTCCGGTAATAGGTAACGTTAAAAATGGTTTAATTGTCATGCAAATAATGACACCATGCAAAATATCTTAACTAAATTCGGTATAATTACTGTTTGCGATTAACTTACGATTTTGGTCATTTTCTTGACAAGCTCCGTGACATTCATCCAACCGCCTGACGTTTGTTTACATCGGATCAGGTGGACACACACACACACACACACACACACACACACACACACACACACACTCTTTATTTTGCGATTAACTTACGATTTTGGTCATTTTCTTGACAAGCTCCGTGACATTCATCCAACCGCCTGACGTTTGTTTACATCGGATCAGGTGGACACACACACACACACACACACACACACACACACACACACACACACGCTTTATTTATTCGGTATCGTAACCCACCTTACTGAGCACCCCGCCGAATTCCGCCACCCCTCCGTGCGGACCGGGTCCCGGTTCGACGTCCAGATCCTCGTCGGAACCGGAGGAGTTCCAGCACTGGCTGTCCGGTAGCAGTCTGCCGTTAGGAAGCGGGCTGGAATTCATAACGAATCCAACGAACGCTCCGCTGACGGGGGGAAAAAACGACAAAAACAGAAAAAACGCGGGCGTAATATCAGCGGCGAATGTCCGTTAGAAGGCCTCGCATCGATTACGGTGTTGTCTATCCAGAAAATCCCGAAAATAAGCGAAAGATGTGGAAGCACACCGTCCTTGTGTTGATTTCACGAGCGTCTGTGAGGCTGCGCGAGGCGAGCGCGAGAGACTCCCGCCCCCTCGCTCACTCTTTCCCTCGCTCTCTCGCTAAAAAAAAAAAGAAAACCACCCTCTAAATCGACATCAGCTGCCAAAAGAGATTCGCCTCACTTACAACTACAAATATTCGCGAATGTAGGAAAATGTGGAAAATCAAAAAATATATACATTAATTCCGCATTTCTAATTTTTGAAGGCGGTGTACGCCGACGTCATCCTCGGGCGCTGGCTAGTGTGTGACGTCACCGAAGCCTCGTTTTCCTTAAAAGGAAACTTTCGCCCCGCCCTTCTCTAGAAATGATTGACAGTTTGAAAGAGCTTTTGGATTTGCCAGCATTGGGGTGAATGTTGATAACACTCTAAAATAACTCATGTAAAAATGTATTATGTATCACTATGTGGTTATATTGGTGTGAGTGCCGTTTGTTTTTAACAAATATTGTTTGGTTAAGTGTTAAATAGCTCTGAGTAATCATCATGGTAACGGTTGGTATCAAAACATCACGTGAATGCAGCCTATTTTCATCTAATTGCAGGTTCAGTCTATATTTTTTTACATTTGCACTCAGGAAAATGTGACTTATACTAGCAGGACCTAAAATCTATGATGTTGTGGTTTGTTTTCAGGCCTTTGCTATGGAGTTGCTAAGGTGTCCTGAGATTGTTGCACGTTTGTATGCAGTTAAGTGTGTTGTTTGGTTGCTAGGTTGTTACGTGTGCTGTTTGGTTGCTAGGATGTTAAGTGTTGTTTGGTTGCTAAGTGTGTTGTTTGGTTGCTAGGATGTTAAGTGTGCTGTTTGGTTGCTAGGGTGTTAAGTGTGCTGTTTGGTTGCTAGGATGTTAAGTGTGGATAACACTCTAAAATAACTCATGTAAAAATTTATTATGTATCACTATGTGGTTATATTGGTGTGAGTGCCGTTTGTTTTTAACAAATATTGTTTGGTTAAGTGTTAAATAGCTCTGAGTAATCATCGTGGTAACGGTTGGTATCAAAACATCACGTGAATGCAGCCTATTTTCATCTAATTGCAGGTTCAGTCTATATTTTTTTACATTTGCACTCAGGAAAATGTGACTTATACTAGCAGAACCTAAAATCTATGATGTTGTGGTTTGTTTTCAGGCCTTTGCTATGGAGTTGCTAAGGTGTCCTGAGATTGTTGCACGTTTGTAGGCAGTTAAGTGTGTTGTTAGGTTGCTAGGATGTTAAGTGTGTTGTTTGGTTGCTAGGATGTTAAGTGTGTTGTTAGGTTGCTAGGATGTTAAGTGTTGTTTGGTTGCTAAGTGTGTTGTTTGGTTGCTAAATGTGTTGTTTGGTTGCTAGGATGTTAAGTGTGCTGTTTGGTTGCTAGGATGTTAAGTGTGCTGTTTGGTTGCTAGGATGTTAAGTGTGCTGTTTGGTTGCTATCACTCCCCTGTGACTGAAGCTCAGGAATTCAGGTCACTTTACTCCACTGAGCTCTGCTAACTGGAGAAAGAGGACTCGGTCTATGATATAATGCTATAGACCACAATACCACCTCATTAGTTTTGCCATTAAGGTTACACATGCATATCAAAAGCAAAGCATTAGTGCCCAACCATAAATGTTCCTGACACTTTCCATTGGTTTCCACACATTTTGTCTGACAGGTCTGGGTATACTGCCTTCATCTAAATCACCGTGGCTGTGCTGAAGAAGAAAGGGAGATAGATGGATGACGGTGCGATGCAAGGTTTGGTGATTTGAACGTAAGCTGCAAAAGATGTGTGCAGGTGAATGCATGGATGGATAGGCATTTTTAGCAGTCTAATTATGTTATAGCTGATGTGAGAGAGAGATCTAATATTATATATATAACATTATAATCCATTCTGTTCTTTCATACATATGAAAAAATAAATATAGGGAAAAAACAGTAGAAATTTTAGTTTGAATATACAAATATGTGTTTTAAAAATAATATTTTATAGTTTGAAATATAAATATACATTTATCAAAATATTAGTGCTGTCAAACGATTAATCGCATCCAAAATAAACGTTTTTGTTTACATAATATATGTATGTGTACTGTGTATATATGTTTATATAAATACACACACACATACAGTATATATTTTGAAAATATTTACATGTGTGTGTGTATATATATTTATATTCTTA